CACTGAGCAACTGCACAGGGTCCTGGTCCCCTCCAGGTTCCTCCCCACGGTGGAGCTCCACATAAAGTCTCACGGCAGCCAGCTGTTCCCTGGCTCGGAAAGTCTGTGTCAGTGAGGTTCCATCTGGCAGCCTGACCTAGACAGCAAGAAAGAGGTACAGCAATTCCAGCTTAAAATGTGAGGAGCCTGGTGCAGAAAAAAGCAAGAGCAGAGCCTCCCTAGAGAGTCTAAACCAATGCTATTCCATCATAAAGGACGTACATAGTATGCTCTGCTTTGCTAAGTGTTTTTTTTTGTTGTTGTTCATTTATTTCTCCATTCTCATTGTGTTCCTTTTTTTATTTTTTTATTATTTGTGTGTGTGTGCGTGTGTACCATCAAATCAGATCTGACTGGTACAGGAGGAGACTGCCCCTCCTTCCTCGGCAGAGCATCTGGTGGTAAGTGTTTAAAAAAACACAACCAAACCCTACTCACAGCTTTGTCACCATCTGAGAAGACAGAACAAAAGTATCTAAAAATCTATTATCCGAACACCCATGTCAAAAAAACCCACATAAACTTTATGAACAAGTAAAAGAATACTTGCTGAGTAAGAGGGAAGTATGGATTTAAGTAAGACTGGGCTAGGTGAAATTTGAGACCTCTGAAGAGTTGAGGAGATCAAGTTTCAAAAGTCATTTACAAAGAAGGGAGAGGTTTGGCAAGAGGAATAAGGCTAAAAAAGCTCTCAGGCAGCCACCTTAGGGACCAAGGAAGGGGACCCAAGGAAAAGAGAGGAATCCGAATGGGTACCTGTATGCGACACTGGTCATACTCCCGCTTGGTGGGAGGCTCCTGGCTGGGAGAGGGAACAGGACCTGGTTCTGTGGCTGATGGAGATGGCTGCGTACCCACAGTGCCACCATACTAGACAGTAAAGCCAAACACTTCATCAGGCACTCAATCCTATTTCTCATTCTTTCCCACTGAGGGGGCAAAAGGGGACTCAATTACCCACCTTCTTGGCTCTTTCAGCTTTATCCCTCTCAATCTTTTCTCGAACTCTTTGTCTAGAGTGCAGAAAAAGGCCGGTCAGCTATTGCCAAAGTGAACCCGGGCTCCTGCCTCATTCCCCCCCCCACCACTGCAGACCTGGCTGCTAACTCCTCTGCTTTTTCCCTCCTCCGCTCCTCGGCAGCCCTCCGCATCTCGTCTTCCTGGAGGCGCTGTCGCGCAGCGGACAACTCCTGCCCTTGTCTCCTGCGCTGCCGCTCCCGTTCCAGCGCCTCTCGCTCCTCTCTCTCTTCACGCTCCCGTTGCTTCTGGGCCACCAGCTCCATCATCCTATGTGGCAACCAGGGAAGAGAAGAAAGAGAAACAGGCCCTGGTGGGGAGGTGAGCTCCTACCAGCGGACTTGAAACACAAGATCAGGGTGCGTCTCCTCCCAAGATAAGCGAGAGAAACAATGAAGAAACCGTCATATACACATCTCCCCCCAAAATAACACAGAATGGAAACAAAATAGCAGGTTCTAGGGCCTGACTTGTGCCCCGAGAAGGGGGCTGTGACCCCCACACTGTGGGACAGGCCTACTGTACCTCTTGGTCTGCTCTTGTCTTTCCTCTTCACTCAAGGCGGGTTTTTCTCCTGGAGAGGATGGCGGTCCTACAAACAAGCCAGCAGTATCATTACCCCTTCGGGTCCTCTCCCCCGGCCGTCGTCCACCACGTCCTCCTGTCCCAACCTTCAGGGCCACCTTGCTCCGACGACGTGGGTTCTCGTCCCAGGACGTGTCCGAGAGGGCTGGCCAGAGGCTCGTCCACGTCGGGGTCGTCTTCGTGCTCCATCAGCCTGGCAGGGAAGGGGCGCAGGGAGGTTAAGGTTAGGGCTGCCCCCTCCCAGCTGTCCCAACCAACTGGCCGCCTCGCCGGAACACTCACCAGTCCATCGCAGCCTCGATGCCCTGATTCCCCGTGAGGGCCAGCGCCTTCTCCCTGGGGGGGGGCAGAAACACCCGTGAATGGCGCCCACGAGCCATGGCGCCGGGCAGGAGGCGCTGGCCTGCGGCCGGGCCCACCCAGGCGGGGCGGGGGTGGGCTCCACGTCCCCACGTGGGTCGAGGGGGACGGGACTCCCTTACGCGCGTCCCTTGGGGAAGCCCATCTCGATGAGACTCTCGAGAGCCGTCAGCTCCGCCATGGCGCTGGCCCCGCCGCCTCTACGGGGACCTGAAGGGGGACGAGGAGGAAAGCAGAGGCAGGTCAGCGCGGGGTGGACCCCGGTCTGCACGCAATGCCGCCCGGACGTCGCGAGGCCCGGCGCGCGTCCTCCCTCCGGCCTCGGGACCCACCGCAAACACGGACGGGAAGAAAGCCGAGGGGAGGCGGAAGTACCCGAATCTGTTTGGGTCACGTGGAGCGGCTGTGGACGGGTGCCGCCGAGGGCCAGAGAGCGCGTTCCGGTCAGCCTGCGCGCGACCCACGCGCATGCGCGACAGGCACAGGCAGGGCGGGGTGGCTGCGGGAGGCGGTGGAGGGGCTTCAGCTCCTGGCTGGAGTGAAGCCGTTTCTCAAGATTTCCCTTTATCTCATTCTTCTTCGAAAGTAGATGGAATTTGACCCTCCAATGCAAAAAAAAGAGCCCAAGTTTTTTTGACAGTGTTTACCAGGAGTCATAGAAATGTGCATACTCTTTGACCCACTCATCCTTTCCTGGGAATTGAGCCATCCTCCGCCCAGCTGCCAGAGAGATCTTTGCAAAACCCAGTATCTGATGCTGTCATCACTTTACAGCCTAACATTTCACCAGAACGCTCGGTTACGCAGAACAAAACGCAAACGCTAATGATTTCTCTTTGTCCTATTCTCTTTTATTGATCATATCCTATACGGACGTGACTGATAAGAAAGCGTTGTCAGTGTTGGTATTTACTACGCATTTTCATCTCTCACCACTTGAGGGTAACCTATGCGTGTTGCAAAACAGACCTTTTTTCTATTTCCCTCTCCCTGCCCTTTGCACCTCCTAAACCCCGGAGGGACACCCCGCCTATTATCTGGACTTAATTAATGCTCAGGCATCTTTTTCCACTCATTTCAGGATTTGCTTTTTAAAGCAAGCCTGCCTTAACCACCCTCTGCCTCCCAGGTCTAGTATTCATTCGCTTACAGATTTTTATCCCTGTTCTATAATCCTTGTTGGCTGGTGGTGGTGGTGGTTGTGGTTAGGTGCCCTCGAATTGACTATGACTCATAGCGATGCTATGAACGGCCATTCTGAAAGCTGTCCTATCCTGTGCCATCCTCATCATCTCTGAGACACTAGAGCCCGTTGCTGCTGTTACAGTGTCTATCCATCTTATTGGGGGTCTTCCTCTCCTTCGCTGACCCTCGCTTGTTCGTTTCCATATAACTTATTCCAACTAAAGGTGACTGAATACACAACAGAACAAAACGCTGCTGGGTGCTGGGACATCTTCAGAATCCTTGGTGGGTGGAAATCCGTTGTTGGCATTACCATCCATTGTGCTGTTTTGAGAGTCCTTAACATGTGGTGGTGGTGTGTACCATAGAGTTGGAATCGACCCATAGTTGACTCTCTAGAAAGATGCAAGAGCTGCCGATTCTTCACTCCATACTTAAATCTCTATGTTTCCTAACATGTAAACGATGGTAGTTATTGGTTGGTGTTGTGCTGTTGTTGTTAGGTGCCATTGAGTCAAGTACGACCCACAGCAAACTTATGAACAAGAAATTTGAACCCTGTCCCATCCTGTGCCTTCGACACATACTAGAGCCCATTGAAGCAGTCATGGTGTCAATACACCTGGTTGAGGGTCTTCCTCTCTTTTGCCAACCCTCTACCTTGTGAGCATCATGTCCCTCTCCAAGAAATATCCCCTTCTTAGCAACATGCTCAAAGAATGTAAGGCAAAACGTCATTGTCTTTGTCTCCAAAGAGCACTCTGGCTGCACCCTCTCCATGACATATTTGTTTGTTCTTTTGGCAGTCCACGAGATGTTCAGTACTCTCCTCCAACACATAGCTTAAAGGCATCAATTTTTCTTCTGTCATTCATTATCCAGCTCTCAGATGCATAGCAAGAGATTTAAAAGACCATCTAACACACCTAAATCCTCAAACTGACACCACTACTCCTCAGTAATTTGGGGAGGTTTCTACCTGAAAACTTTCCCAGTACAATATACCTCCACTGCTGGTATCAAGGGTGTTAATTGTGGATCCAAATAAAATGAAGTTGTTGACAGTTTCAATCTTTTCTCCATCTATCACGATTGCCTATCAGTTCATCGGCCCAGTGGTAAGAATCTTTGTTTTCTTGACATTGAGATGCAATCCATATCGAAGCTTTGATCCTCTGCAACAAGTGCTTCAAGTCCTCCTCACTTTCAACAAGCAAGGCTGTGTCATCTGCAGATTATTGATGAGTCTTCCTCCAATCCTGATGCCACGCTCCTCTTCATAGAGTCCAGCTTCTCGGATAATTTGCTCAGCATACAGATCAAATAGGTTTGGAGAGAGATTACAATCTTGATGCACTTCTTTCTCAATTTTAAACCATGTAGTATTCTCTTGCTCTGTTTGCACAGCAGAGCAGCCTCCTGGTCTAGGTAAAAGTTTTGCATAATCACAATTATGTGCTCTGGAATTCCCATTCTTTGCAATGTTAACCAGAACTTGTTATGATCCCCACAGTCAAACGTCTTTGCATAGTCAATAATGCATACATAGGCATTCTTCTGGTATTTACTTTCATCCACAATCCATCAGAAATCAGCAATGATATCCGTGGGACCACAGCTTCTTCCAAATCCTCCTTGAACTTCTGGCAATTCCCTATCTATGTACTGTTGATCTTAGGAACAACAAAATTGGTGCAAATCCAGATAAAAGTAATACATATTGATCACACTTTCTCTATGGTCACACTAAGCATCTCACTAATTCCAGTCATCATATCCTTCTCACAGATCTAGAAATCCTCAAACAGTCCTAACTATGGAAACTCTACAATCCAATACACATTCATTATAAGAACAGTCTCAGCAATCATATTTATATGCTATAATCAAGAAGCTGTAATTTCTAAACTATACTTAAACTTTAAATATTGCCAGAGGTGTGAAAAGTAAATTGCAAGGGAGAAAATCCCCCACCTTTCCCTGTGGAACAGCTGATGGATTGGAACCGAACCACATCCCTTTCCATTGGTAACACAATTCCTTACCATTAAGCCACCAGTTATTTTTGTTTTTTTAGTTCTTTCAGCTTGAGACATATTGAACAAGTTCTTTCCTTCATATTCTCTGACTCCAGCTCTTTGCATAGTTCCTTGTAATATTTTGGTTTATCTTCTCAAACTGCACTTGGAAATCTTCCATTCAGCTCTTTTACTCCAGCATCTCTTCCTTTTGTTTTGACTTCTCGATACTCTAACACAATGCTCATAGATTCTTTTGACATCCATTTTGGCTTCTTCTTTCTTCTCCTTCTTTGTAATGACCTTTTGCTTTCTTCATGGGTGAAGAGATATCTTCCCACAGGTCCTCTGGACTTTGATCATTGGTGTTCAAAGACGGAAACCTGTTTTTGAGATGAATCTTAAATTCAACTGGGATAGACTCAAGGTTGTATTTGTGTTCCTGTGGACTACTTTTAATTTTCTTCAGCTTAATTTTAACTTGCACATAGTCTGTTCCACAATCAGATTCTGGTCTGGTCACTAACAGCCTACATTACGCAGATGACACAACTTTGATTGCTGAAAGTGAAGAGGATATGAAACGTTTGCTACAGAATATCAAGCACTACAGCCTCTGGCACGATTACTTCTTCCCTGCCAACCAGACTTCTGGGAGTGTGGCTGGCCTTCAGGGTTGGAGGAAGACTCATCAACAACCTGTGTTATGTAGATGACACAATGTTGCTTGCTGAAACTGAGGACCTGAAACACTTGCTGCAGAAGGTCAAAGACTACAGCCTTCAATATGGATTGAAGCTTAACATCAAGAAAATGGAGATTCTCACTACTGGGCTGATTGGCAGTATCATGATAGACAGTGTAGAGAATGAGATTGTTATCAGCTTTAGTTTGCTTGGCTCCACAATCAACTTGGTACCAGCAGCTAAGAAATCAAAAGATAAATTGCATTGGGAATGTCTGCTGTCAGGGACCTCTCCAGAGTACTGAAGAACAACGATGTCAGTCTGGAGACTAAGGTGTGCCTGATCCAGGCCATGGTCTTCTCAATTACCTGCTATGCATCAGAAAGCTGGACAATGACTAGGAATGATGGAGAATTGAAGCCTTTGAGCTGTGGTGCTGGAGAAGAGTATTGAATATATCATAGTTTGCTAGGAGAACAAACAGGTTTATTCTGGAGGGAGTCAAGCCAGGCTGCCCCTTGGAGGAAAGGATTCTGAAGCTCTGTCTGACATACATTGAGCATGTTGCAAGGAGGGACCAGTTTTTGGAATGACATCATGCTTGGGAGGGTGCAAGAGAGGAAGACTCTCGATGAGATGGATTGATTCAGTGACTGGGGTAATGGAGGTAAGTGTATCAGAGACAATAAAGTTGGCTCAGGATAGAGCACAATTCAGAGCTATTGTACATTGGGTCACTATGAGTTGCAGGCAACCTGATGGCACATAACAACAACAACAATCCCTGAATTACTTCTTAACATCAAGAAAATGAAAGTCCACTTATAGGACCAACAGTCAACATTCTGACAGATAAAGGATTGAAGCTGTCAAAGATGTAATCTTGCTTGGATCAACAATCAACAACCTTGGTAGCAGCAGTATGGAAATATGGAGACATAAGTCCATTGTCAGACGTCTCCAAAATGCTGAAGAATCCCTCTAAAGACTAAGGTGCACCTGATTTAGGCATGGTCTTCTTAATCACTTGCTACACCTCAGAGAGATGGATAGTGAATAAAGGCAACAGAAGAATTGATTCTTTTGATATGTGGTACTGAAGAGTACTAAATATCTCATGGGCTGCCAAATGGACAGATACGTGTCTTGGGAAAAGTGCAGTCAGAGTGCCCCTTGGAAGCAAAGACAGCAAAGCTTCATCTTCCGTACTTTGGACATGTAAGTAGGGGAGGCTATTCCTTGGAATGGGACTTGCTTGAAAAGGTGGAGGATCAGTGAAGGAGAGGAAGACCTCCCATGAGACAGATTGACACAGTGACTTCAACAATGGGCTCTAGTGTGTCAGAGATGATGAGGATGGCACAGGATGGGGGAGGGTCCAGGTCCGCTGTTCATAGCATTGCTATGAACTCAATAGCATCTAACAACACCAAACAACAACAAACCACCAGAGCCCCCTGTCTTCAACCTAGGAGACTCTTTTTTCCTCCCTGAAGGTTGTGGTGGTGTTGTGTACGTTAAGTCAGAACCGACTGACAGCTGACCCTCCAGCGGGTTTTCAGAGGCATTTAATCACAAGGGAGAAGACTGCCCATAATTTTCCCCATAGA